TTGTTGTTTTCTCTCACAAGTGCTTAGCAGAAGCAGTATACAATTTTGCCGCTAAGTATACAAATTTCATATAGAGCCTTGGCATGAAACCTATATGCAAAATTAAAGACTGTTTTCTACTAGGATATATACATAAAATTGGGAACTTTTGACAGATACAAACCCACAACAACTCCAAAGAAAAAGGATTACGGGGGCTTTGTCGCATGTATTCTACTACAGTGTTAGTGTTACATATTTTATTTCACAGTATTTAAATCAGGATGGATCATATGCTATGACGAATTCCTGAAGCTCATACCTTTAAATACAAAAAAAAATTACTCTGCACAAAAAAATTAGAGATTTCGAGGGGAAATAAAGATTTTTTTTGCGGGGTGGAGGGGAAATAAAGATTTAGTGGGCATGATAAAAGACGAACCATGAGTCAAGAGTTTTGGACGCTTCTAAGTGCCCTGCGCATCATGCAAAGAGATCCTAAAGTTACCATCCAGGACCACGTCATTAAGGAAGATGATACTCAAATCACCAGCCTTGAGCGAGTACTGGGAGATCATCCTGTGTAAATTTCCTGCACACATCTTTGCAAATAGAACATAGAGCAAGGATCCAAGAAAGAGAAGAGAGGACATTCAACTACCTTCGGTATCTCGATCCAGATCCAGAAGGAGGAGAGAGGTCAGGGATCTCGATTTCTGCTGCTTCTTCTACTGATTAATGGCGTCCGCTAGGGGGTGGGAGGGGATGGGGGCGGGGGTTAAATAAGTACTCCCTTCTTTCCATAACGTAGTGCATATATATAGATTTATATCAAACTTAGTCAAATTTACAAACTTTGATCAAGTTAAGTTCAAAAAAAATGGGCCAAGTTTATAGAGAAAATAATTTATATCAACAATATCAAATGTATACAATACGACAGTATGTCTTATGATGTATCTAAGCATACGTATTTCGTATTCTAGATGTATATATTTTTTCTCTACAAACTTGGTCAAAGTTTATAAAGTTTGACTTTAAAAAAAATTATATATGCTCTGCATTATGAAAGAGAGGTAGTATTAGATAGACACAATAAATGAGAGTAGGGATGCGTTCGGTTACCTGCATCGTTTTTTGCCACGTTGTATACTTGTCCCAACTGGGCCTGGCTGAGCATATGCACGCAAAAAACCAACATCTGCATGTTGATTGGCTGCCTGCATCCCCTCTAGCCTACATGTGCCAAAACCGAAGGCCTGCTGTTTGGTTGTGGACTTGTTTGAGGGTGAACACAAGTCCGGTTGTTTGGTTACATCCAGGACAGTTGTGTGGTAATCTCCTCCTCGATATGGTGAGGTTACCAGAGGCACACATGAAGAACTAAGACCTAAACTAGAGCAACAGAATAAACTTAGGCACAAACACAAGTTTTAAGCCAATATAGTACGCTAAGTTTTAAACGAAACCCAAGTCTTAAACCAACAACCAACAAGGAACGGGCAATAGGAGCTCAGGCGGTTGTCGTGCTCCTTGCACTTGGTGACCACCTCCACGTCGTTGTCGTTGAAAATGATCACCTTCATGGTGCCGGGGGTCGGCAGCTTGAATGTCAGCATGTACCTGATCATGATCTGATGAACGGCGGCGAAAGTGGCCCAACCCTGATCAAGGGTGACCATGCCGCTGATTACCCTCACCGTCACCCTCCATGCGTTGCTGGTGTTTGTCTTGAGCTTGAACTCTGTAGGGACAGCTGGGAAGTACTTCGTGAACTCCAAAGGCAATGGCAGACTCTCCAACTTTGGAGCAAGGATAACGTTGCAAAAGTGGCTTGGTCCCGACTCCTGATGGTAGTGGTCATAGTTTCCTCCGATTAGCGCTTGGGTGTGTAGGGGAACGTTGCAGAAAACAAAAAAATTCCTACGTTTCACCAAGATCAATCTATGAAGTCAACTAGCAACGAGAGGAGAGTGCATCTACATACCCTTGTAGATCGCGAGCGGAAGCGTTCAAGAGAACGGGGATGATGGAGTCGTACTCGCCGTGATCCAAATCACCGATGACCAAGTGCCGAACGGACGGCACCTCCGCGTTCAACACACGTACGGAGCGGATGACGTCTCCTCCTTCTTGATCCAGCAAGGGGGGAGGAGAGGTTGATGAAGATCCAGCAGCACGACGGCGTGGTGGTGGATGCAGCAGTGATCGCAGCAGGGCTTCGCCGAGCTTCTGCGAGAGGGAGAGGTGTAGCAGGGGAGAGGGAGGCGCCAAGACTTGAGGTGTTGCTGCCCTCTCGCCCCCCCCCTTTTATATAGCCCCCCTAGGGGGGTGCGCCGGCCCTAGGAGATGGGATCTCCTAGGGGGGCGGCGGCCAAGGGGGTGGAGTACCCCCCAAGGCAAGTGGAGGCGCCCCCTCCCCTAGGGTTCCCAACCCTAGGCGCATGGGGGGGCCCAAGGGGGGCGCACCAGCCCACCAGGGGCTGGTTCCCCTCCCCACTTCAGCCCATGGGGCCCTCCGGGATGGGTGGCCCCACCCGGTGGACCCCCGGGACCCTTCCGGTGGTCCCGGTACAATACCGGTGACCCCCGAAACTCTCCCGATGGCCGAAACTGCACTTCCTATATATAATTCTTCACCTCCGGACCATTCCGGAACTCCTTGTGACATCCGGGATCTCATCCGGGACTCCGAACAACTTTTGGGTTACTGCATACTCATATCTCTACAACCCTAGCGTCACCGAACCTTAAGTGTGTAGACCCTACGGGTTCGGGAGACACGTAGACATGACCGAGACGGCTCTCCGGTCAATAACCAACAGCGGGATCTGGATACCCATGTTGTCTCCCACATGCTCCTCGATGATCTCATCGGATGAACCACGATGTGAGGACTTAATCAATCCCGTATACAATTTCCTTTGTCAATCGGTACGTTACTTGCCCGAGACTCGATCGTCGGTATCCCAATACCTCGTTCAGTCTCGTTACCGGCAAGTCACTTTACTCGTACCGTAATGCATGATCCCATGATCAACCACTTGATCACTTTGAGCTCATTGTGATGATGCATTACCGAGTGGGCCCAGAGATACCTCTCCGTCATACGGAGTGACAAATCCCAGTCTCGATTCGTGCCAACCCAACAGACACTTTCGGAGATACCTGTAATGTACCTTTATAGTCACCCAGTTATGTTGTGACGTTTGGCACACCCAAGGCACTCCTACGGTATCCGGGAGTTGCACAATCTCATGGTCTAAGGAAATGACACTTGACACTCAGAAGAGCTACAACAAACGAACTACACGATCTTTGAGCTAAGCTTAGGATTGGGTCTTGTCCATCACATCATTCTCCTAATGATGTGATCCCGTTATCAATGACATCCAATGTCCATAGTCAGGAAACCATGACTATCTTTTGATCAACGAGCTAGTCAACTAGAGGCTCACTAGGGTCGTGTTGTGGTCTATGTGTTCACACATGTATTACGATTTCCGAATAACACAATTATAGCATGAACAATAGACAATTATCATGAACAAAGAAATATAATAATAACCATTTTATTATTGCCTCTAGGGCATATTTCCAACAGTCTCCCACTTGCACCAGAGTCAATATTCTAGTTACATTGTGATGAACCGAACACCCATGCAGTTCTGGTGTTGATCATGTTTTGCTCTAGGGAGAGGTTTAGTCAACGGATCTGCTACATTCAGGTCCGTATGTACTTTACAAATCTCTATGT